TTGTGTGCTCATACTGAAATATCACACTGTACCCCATAAATATGCACAATTATTATGTGTTGATGAAAAAGAAAAGAAAAAGGAAAAACAAAGAAATTATCTTTTTCTGTGACCTTCAAGTGAATCTCCATGAAACAGACTCTTGGGATCACCCGTGAAAACAGAAGCCAGTCTGGGTACTCCAGAAATTGAAGGATGGCAAGTAAGTGGCTGTTGTAGATTAACTGATCTTTGGTGAGATGACAAAGAAATGTGCTGCTTGTTGATAGATACATCTAAGGAACTGTGAGACCAGGTGAGGTGTCGAGATGTCGATGTGTGTATGTGTGTATGTATAATTATCTTTGTGTATAATTATCATTATGCTTTCTCTGGTTTATCAAATTCTTATACGACAAGGCATTTTGCCACATATAGTTAGCTGATTTTTGTAAAGTTTCATGTTATGGTTAGAGCTGTTAAAAAGAAAAGCACTTTTTCCCACTGTCCCTTGCATAAAATGCAAAAATAGGGTATCAGCAGACTTTTTATGCAGCTGGGTTATGAATCAACAGTTCACAATGTCTTGACTTCACACTGGCCTGGGGGAAGTCTGGCTAAAATCAAGACTTTGGGGAGACATGTAATATGACACTAAGCAAATTCTGAAGCTCATTGTTTATCTTTTTTTCCATATTGGATCCCCATATGTGTACTTTTTTCTAGGCTGTCTGGAACCACGCTGAAGGTTTTTTGCCTTCAAGGATGCTCTGCAAGCACAGAGCGTGGTGACAAGAGCCATTGGAGCAAGGGTTGGGTTGGCAGGAATGAGGGCTGAGCAAAGCCAGCCCGATGGGGCTTGTTAACCCAGCTCTCTCCACCATGGCTGGAGGTGTGCTTTGACCTTTATGCTAGTGAATTCCCTACAGCTCTAAGCACTGAGCAAAAGTAACCAGACTCCGTTTTTAGAAATTAAAATATAAAGACAACTTCTTAATAAAAATTTCAAGCCATTCTCTCTCTCTCTCTCTCTCTCTCTCTCTCTCGTATTTTCATTTCTGGCATCCACAGATGGCTTTTATTGCTTTCAAAAAAAGATCATTCTTTCGTTGACACTTTATTTGGCACATATATGTGGCAAACAGGTTTTCTAGACCAGAACATGTGCTATCATAGAGCAGTGGATGGAATTTTTAAAACTGAACGTCTCTGGGGAAAAAAATCAATGTCATATGGTTCTTTGGTTTGGACTCCCTCAGAAGAAGACCCTGAGACAAGGATTTGAGTACAAAGAGTTTATCTGGGAAGGGAATCTAGGAAACACTGGTAAGAGAGTGGGGAAGTGAGCAAGGGAAGGGAGTAAAGCCCACAGAGCCCTCCAGCCCCCGGGAGGCTGCAGCTAGTTACCTCAGCCAAGGAGGGGGACAGCAGAGGTATTGACCCACCAGCTGCTCATCTATCATTGTCTGTTGGCTGCTTCCAGAAGTTTATCTTCCCAGAACTTCCTGCTTGCCCTGTGAGAGAAGAACCAAGAGTATCCTGGTAATCAGAGAGAGAGAGAAAAAAAATCACTCAGTCTTCGTCAAGATGTCCACAGTAAGTGGCCTACAGACGTAGAGGTTAGGGGAAGGGGAATGAGCCAAGGCTCAGATTGCGGAACTACCTGCCTCTTATAGTTTGGTTCTGGACTGTACCACAAAGGCTCAGGATTGGAAGTCTGGATCCCCAGTGAAACCATGTCCAGAGGTGGGGCTTTGGAGAAGAGATTGGGTCATGAGGACTCTGACCTCATCTGTGGATTAGTCCATGGAGGTACTCCTAGTTCAATGGGCTATTGGGAGGTGGTGGAAACTGTAAGAGTGGGACCTAGTTGATGTAGGTCTTTGGGAGTGTGATCCTGGGGACTATATCTTATCTATGGCTCCTCCTCTTCCTCCTCCTCCTCCTCCTCCTTCTCCTCCTCCTCCTCCTCCTTCTTCTTCTTCTTTTCCTCATTCTTCTTCTCACTCTTCCCAGTCACCATAATCTGAGCATCACCTTGCTCTTCTTCCATGTTCTGCCTCACCTTAGGCCCAAAGCAATGGATCCATTCAACCACAGACTGAAATCTCTGAAACTGTGAGTCAACATTAATCTTTCCTACTTTAAGTTGTTTTTCTCAGGTATTCTGTCACAGTGACAAAAATCTAACATATTGCCTTATTGTACACAAAATGGAAGTTGTTGACCACGT